TTGCAGAGGCCATTGCTTCACCAGGATCAACATGCTTGATTTCATCGGCCAATGTTGTCCACTTGGTGAAACATCTCATTTCCACTCACTAGTGCCTCAAAGAAGTACAATTCATTTTCCACCATATTTCAGGTGGAAAGATATCATCATTAGCATTATCAGCATGTACTGTATCCAATGACGCCGTCTGTGATGAACCTTCTTGGCAAGTAGTAAGACAATTACTCAATGTGCGCTCACACAGAATACTTGAGATCGAGGCAAGGTTGACATTGAAGGATTGGTATTTTCGATCTTCATCATCATCAGCCTCCTCTAGAACAAACTCATTTCTTCATCGTCCATTCAGCAGTTCTCAAATATAATATTGCACAACATAGTCATTGCAGGATCATCTTCAATCTCTGATAGCAGAAGCTCAGGTTGGTACGGAGCATCGACATCTCCGCCGTCAGAATTGGAAAGATGATCTTCAGGTCAAGCATAGTTCGGAAGACTTGTCAGATCAACTCATCTGGTGTCACCAAGTCAATATGATGAGGTCAGCATTGTTAAAAGTTAGCAATTAGTATATGCCATGCAGCTTCATTTGAATGCACAGTTGTTCATCAAAACTTCTTGATTGGATGATGATCAGAAAAGGCATCAGAAAAACAGGTCATCCTCGTCATTTAGTAGTAGGGCAGCATCAAAAATTCGGGATCTTCCTATGCAGCATATTTGGGAATTGTAGGTTGGACCGATGCATGTTGGTCAGTATCACTCAGAACAGAACCACTTGATCCAAGCACATTTACATTGGCGTGGGAGTCAAGTTCAGTCCTAGAATCAACCGGATGCTCAGCAGTAGTGCCATCAATTTGAGGTCAGCCGCAGGTATGGCAAAGAATGGTGGGGACGTATTCATAGAAATTGTCGTCCATCATCTTCCAGCCAGGGTTGGTCTGGTGGCTCAAGAATCCAATGCATCGCTTGTAATTTTCAATACATTACTGATATAACAGTGGGTTCCGCCGTGACCAGTCAAGCCTTGCTCTTATCAAGAATAAAAACACTGACTTCAGTAGATTTTCTTCAGCCTTTTGTCTTGGTCGACTTCTTGGAAAATTCAATCGTCTTCGGCTCATTTTGGCTCAATTCAGCAAATCAAAGCGTCTTGTCGTTTCAGGCATTGACTTCAAAGGAAAATGCGTTATACAGAGCATTAGTCGTGGCTGTAGTAGCATCATAACAGAATCGTAGAGTGATGGGAGCTGATAAACTGTTTAAAGGATGTGCATTGACAACAAGAATAATCGTAAAACCTTGATGCCTTAAAATTAATTGTGTTGATGTGAGAACATCCAAGCAAACTATCGCTCAACATACGCATAACGCGCACGTACAAATTGCTAGTGTTGTTGGCTTCAGTCAGCGAGCCAACCAGTCTCAGGTATGTCTGCCTGGCCTTAAAACACAAGCTGGACGATTGTCCACGCATGGTGCATTTTGAAATCGAACGATTGGCCAAATCTCAATTAGGTTTCAACGACCTCAACTCACAATTCACATCAAAATAAAATAAAAGACTTCATTGCACTTGATCTTCTGCTCTTTTCACTAGTTTATCATGACAAATGCCATGTCAATTCTTGCTCTAGACATTATAGCCTCTCATAACAAGGCCGATAACAAAGCCTCCACGATACCAATGCAGTATGTTAGAATAAAGCAAAATGTGCTCTATCGTGAGTGCCTTTAGCGCTCAGAACAAACTCTCTGCAATCTAAATTCGTAATCGACTGTACAACACTTTCACGACAATAGTTCTCCTGTGTCTAGGTATACTTTGAGTGAAATTGTTCCTATTTGATTAATGTTTGGCTTGAATTGATGATTCAATCACAAAAGTGAGCTCAACGATTTTCCCTTGGAAAATCCCTTGTTTACAGAACTCGATTCGACTTCTACGACAATTCTGTGTTGAATGCAGTACTTTGGGACATCTTGCATTATTCCCTACTGCATTGTACACAACATCAATATTTCACTTGTACAGGGTCTTTCCCTTTTTGTGTGGATACAGATTGTCCGACAGACTTGCGTCCGACAGACTTGCGTCGAATCCCAACATCACGCAGGATCAAAGTCCGATCGCACGTGTCGAAAACCTTGTACTTGAATAGTTTCTTTTGGAACGTAAAAACTCATATTTCGTCATATCCCAACACAGTACTTTGGGACATCTTGTATTATTCCCTACTGTATCGTACACAACATCAATATTCCACTTGTATTGGGTCACTCCCATTTTGTGTGGATATAAATTGTCCGGCAGACTTGCGTCGAATCCTAACATCACGATCAAAATCCGATCGTGCGTGTCAAAAACTTTGTACTTGAATAGTTTGTCATATCCCAACAGTGTTGTCAATGTGGTTGAGCAGAACTGGGAAGTGGGGAAATCCGTTGGGGAATTTGTGGGCCAGGCCTGGATGGGCATGGGAAGTTCCTTCAAGGCAGACAACCGAGGCAACTTCCTGTAGAAAAGCTACCAAGAACTCAAGGCTGTTGATATGGACATATTTGGTGGCTTTCAGTTTTGTACCAGCAACAATATCTGGGCTCAAAACTATGCAAAATCAAAAGAGGAGTTTGTTGGAATAGGCGCCTCCTCCAAGAAAGCTAGCATCTCCGTACGACGTGAAGTGGGGGTCTCGAGGGATCATCTGGGGAATGTAGATTTCCCAAATCTCTGTTTGGAGGCTGTGCTGGATGGCTCGAAGTTCGCGGAGCACAGGTTCGTCAAGGCGGAATCGCTTGTTGGCATTCCATAGGAACGTAGCTGCTTCCTTTCCAATGAGGGAAGCAAGACGGTAGCGGAGGGATGGAGGTAGTTGGCCGGAGATGATTTGGACTTTGTCGTTGCGTTTCATGTGATGTTTGATGGATTGGTGGTGGGAACGGAGCAATTGACTCAGGACACGTTGCAAGTTGAAGTAGGAACAACACATCCATTGACAGACTGTGTTTGCAGTGGAAGCGTGCCCTAGAAGAATTGCGATATTGCGAAGGGACAGAGACGGATTCGCCAGTGTTTCTGAAATGAGTTTGACGAGGCGGTCCCGTTTGATGGAAGGTAAACGCACTGTCATTCTTCTCAAGTTGATCAACCATCCAACAGTTTTGCGTTCGTGGGAGAAAGTGTTGGCGATTTTTTCCCAAGAGATGCAGTCGCGGATCCTGTTGGACGGGTTTGGGAATCCTAAGAGGATGTACAGGGCAAGTGTTCTAACGTCAGGCAAACAGACAAAACGACGATTAGTCCGCCAAATTGAACGTTGGTGAACATTGGCGATCGCTAGTTTATGTGCATGTTTTTGCACACAATTCAATTAATTTTCAGACAACAAGGTTTTACGTCTTTTCCTTTGTCATTACCCAACATCAAAACAGTTTATCAGTTCCCACTGTCTATTGACTACCCAGAATGGTCATCACAAATGCCCAAAACACTGCTTTCATCACCCAGGATGCTCAGATGGCAATTCCACCAGGAATTTCCGCTCCCCATCTGAATCAGCAAGGCATCACAACAATATATTCGCTCAAGGAGTTCAATGATGGCATGCTTGATGATATTCACAAGCACATCACAAGACATGGCCCTCCAAATGATGTCTTCAGCGCCCTGTCTCTTTCACGCCTCAAGACTGCTGCCTCTGCTGTCCGATTTTACCTTGCTACTGGCAGAGCATTCACTGCAGCATGTATGAGATGGACAAATACAGTCATCATGTATCAAGAGGAGCGTGAAGCACTGAAGATTGACCAAGAGCGGGAAGATCCAAAGGTACCAGGTGTCAGCAAAGCTTTTCCTATCATGAAATGGCTTGCTGCCTTTAGATCTGTCATCCATGAGAGCTATGGTGTGAGAGGTTTTCCTCTTGGATATGTCTTGAGAGAAGACGCTGCTGTGCCAGCTGAACCATCGCTTGCTCCGGATCGACCATATTCTATTGAACATGGATCGCTTGTTGCCGAATTTACTGCTAGAGCATCCCATACTCACCCTAGGTTTCACCAGGATAATGCTCGAATATTTGCCAAGCTGGAAGAAGCGCTACAAGGGACGACTTATGCCTCGTCTCTGACCCCATTTGAGCAGACAAGAGATGGAAGAGGTGCCTTCTTTGTCATTGTCGCCCCCCCCATCTTCCATCCTTGATCTTTGGCACCACTTCTGCAGTCTAGCTGAGTCAGGTTCTCACGGCTGGGTTCCAGAGGTCATTACCATTGAAGGTAGTGAGGATCGCCTGGTTCAGGCCCTTCGTGCCGGTACCCTTCGTGCTGTGAGCGACGGTTCTTACAAAGCTAAAGTGGGCACAGCATGCGCTCAAATTCTCACTGAGGATCGCAGGGATATCATCTGGATCACCTGCCAAACCCCTGGGAAATTTGAGGATCAGAGTTCAACGCGCAGCGAATTGATTGGCCTTATGGCTTCTCTCCTGGTGTTGGAATGGATGGCTCAGCTTGTCCAACTGAAACTCTTTGCCAGCCAACCTTCGGTCGAGATGGCCTGCGACGGTCTCATCGCCCTGGATAAGTCCTTCTCAGAAACTGTTCAGCCCAGGCTTATCAACTTGAAACGGGGACATCCTTTGGACTCTTGCAACAAGTCTACACCAACACGGCAATCTTAGCTTCCAACACGTGGATGAAACGAGTATGGCATGAACTCGAGGGTCTGGACATCTATGTCGCCTTTGACTCTCCAGCCTTCTCCCATCGCTGTACGGACGACTCCCTTCTGATGGATCTCTTCATCAACTTGGAGGTTGAACAAGAGGAACTTTTATGGCACTATTGGTGTCAAATGTTCCTCCAGGTATGCACAGTGTCTGGCATTGTGACTGCTGACGGCAGGTTTATCCGTCGTTCCGCGTGGAATGGGATCAGGGATGAGTGCTGCCGCTCGCCATACCAATGGCCAAGGACAGTTCGACCAACCCGCCAACATCGGGACCTGTGGCAGACCACCTTGTCTTGAGCCCTGCTTGCCTCCAACGGGCCACATCACCCACTACGGCAGCCATTAGGGCCCTGGCCTGATCCTCTGGAGGACTGGAATTGGTTGCTGTCACCCACTACAGGCCTTTTCCACCGCCATGGGTCAACCTGGAAACATTTGTCTCCTGAGGGCTCCTCCACCACGTCACGTCGCTACGCACCAGCGCCTTCACATCCTTCCTGCCCATGGTGGACCGCACCGCTTCCCTCTGATGTTCTTCGCGCTACGGTTCGCCCCATCACGGCTAGACCTACAATTGACGGGCCCTTCCATCAAAACAGCGATCCTACAGCTTCTTCACGGCGTTCGTACACCTACTTCGTCCCCTCTAAGGACCATCTCTCCTTCGGTTCGGCCGGTCTTCTTGGCTCAGCAGGTGATTGGGTCCCAAGGCCTTTTGGAGGGACGCATAGCCTCGTCTTGGCTTCCGCTCCAACAACAACATTATGACAAGATCAGATGTCGACAATCTGTCTCTCTTTGGGCGTCCCGCCTCTCACAACAGCTGATCTCAATTGGCTTCTACATGTGGGAGCAATGGAACTCCGTTCAACATTCGGATGATAACGTTCAACTACGTGAACGTCACAGTACTGTCAATGAGGGGATTCACTCACAGTTTGATATGGGTCCTGATGACTTGCCTAGGGAAATTCAACCAATGTTAACAAGCCGTCGACGTCGACGAGTCCTTCGCAAGTCATTGGTGGACAAGGAAGAGTGGCTGAAGTTGCTTTGTCAGGAACGCAGAGATTACCGTCGCTCCATGAAAGCACAACGCCGCAGTCTGTGGACTATTTTTTCCCCTGGACCACAATAGAGCACATTTTGCTTTATTCTAACAGTGATGAAGACATCAATGCACTGATAATGAAAATCGAAGAGGAGGTCATGGCCAAAATTGCAGAGAGGAATGAGGTCCTTGTTAGCATAGCACAAACATATCACAATTCGAGGGCTATAGAGATGGAAGAACAGAATGCAAACTAACACTGAATTGCATTGAAAATAAAATACCAATTATATAGTCCTACCCTTATTTCTGCACTATTTAGGGTTGAAAGCAAATATCCTCAAAAGCAAATATCCTCAATGCTTGTTCCATGTGTCCTTCCCTTGGAGCTGCTTGATACTGGCTCAGGAGTGATACTTCCAGTGAGATATCGACTCGTCCAATCTCTGTCGCCCATTGTAATATCCCAATCAACTCTTGGAAGTAGGCATGGTCTTCTCGTCCTAATTCGCTGAATCCATCCATCTCCGGTTCATAGGCACTAGTCATCGGCGTTGGTGCATTCTTGGGAATTTTCCATTTTGGGCTGTCCTTTAACATTTCCTTTGTTAGAATAAAGCAAAATGTGCTCTATCGTGAGTGCATTTAGCGCTCAGAACAAACTCTCTGCAATCTAAATTTGTAATCAACTATACAACACTTTCACGACAATAGTTCTCCTGTGTCTAGGTATACTTTGAGTGAACTTGTTCCTATTTGATTGATGTTTGGCTTGAATTGATGATTCAATCACAAAAGTGAGCTCAACGATTTTCCCTTGGAAAATCCCTTGTTTACAGAACTCGATTCGACTTCTACGACAATTCTGTGTTGAATGCAGTACTTTGGGATATCTTGCATTATTCCCTACTGCATCGTACACAACATCAATATTCCACTTGTACAGGATCTTTTCCTGTTTGTGTGGATACAGATTGTCCGACAGACTTGCGTCCGGCATACTTGCATCGGATCCCGACATCTTGCACGATCAAATCCCGATCGCACGTGTCGAAAACCTTGTACTTGAATAGTTTCTTTTGGAACGTAAAAACTCATATTTCGTCATATCCCAACAGCAATCCTCCACAGCCAGAAACAGAATCAAGCTGTCCAATTTGTGCAAACCGCAATGCTTCAGAGTCAATCTTTTCAGGTTGGCAAAGCCATCAAGCAATGTGCCGACCACTGCTGATGGAGGCCATTCCCAATCCCACCTCTTGTTGTTTGTTCCACTCCAGTACAATTCCCTCACAGTAGTATTCTTGACCCATTTTGCCTCCGGGTCATCACCTCTGTCCGTCCAAATAGATTGTTCTTTTTCTGCATTACCATGAACAAGGTTCATGTTTGGTGGCATTATAGTTCTGAATCCAAGCGAAGCAAGAATCTCTGACTCTGCATTTGTTTGCATTTGTTTGCATCATTGCAATTTCACAAGAATGCAAACAAAGTTTCTTTACGTCGCATTTCAAGCCCGAGCCGTAGTCATTGTCATTCAAAGCTGAATACAACGTCTGGATGCTTATTGGTATGTTGTGAAATGTCAGTTTTTTCAACTGAGTGAGTTGTTTCAACTCACCAGCAAGAGTCTCCATCACCAGTCGACCTTCACCTTCATTGCTAATAAAGGATTCTCGGTTCACGTCGTCTTCAAAATATTCCAGTGTTTTTAGATTTTGGATTGTATGATCGTCCTGCAGAATAAGGACAAGATCAGATATCACAACGTTTCCCAATATAAGAGTGTGGGATCTCTTGGCACTAGAACAAAGGATATCCGAATCGTCAAATCTGTGCCAGTACCCATCAAGTTTGACGCTATGGAACTTGTTGGTGTGTGATAGGTTCATCAAGTCCATGTTCTGCTGTGCTCTTTGATCTTCCACCGGAGGCATGCGGTTCCCACTGGTTCAACAGCACTGGACTCACCTCCGTCTGGTACTAAATGGCCATGACAGCCGTTAACGGCAATCTAGAAACTTGAGATAGTTTTAACACGATTAATGCATCAGATTTATTATAGGCATGCAGTTCCCAATTTTCAGCTCGAGTCCTCCTTGATAGACATGGAGCTGTCCAACCGCATCCACAACATCTTCCATTGACAGCTTATCTCTTGTGTTTGCATCTTTAACACTGACTAAGTACGGCATTGTAGTAGTACTACTGGTTGGACTTATTGTGTCTTGTATCCTGCTGCTGTTCAATGCCTCAATCTTTTCCGGTGCAACAGCAACAAAGAACATGCTGGAAGATATCTTGTCCTTGTTGAAGATGTTACATGTCTGGCTGACTTCACAGACTGCCACTACGTGAAGAAGTACCACATATTTGCGTAGCGTACCGTGTATGGCTGTGCAAATATTCTAGCTGGCGCTACTTGCCGAGTGGGCTATGGTTCGCTACGGTGGTTTTTGGTAATTTGCTTACCCAGCAGCAGAAATCACAACTTGAAAGCTTGCCCGCTCTCCACCAAACAAATTTGTTGTCATCAATGGAATGGGACAACACTCGCAATCAATAGCAGCAATTGCCAAGTGTCCTGCACAAGATATCCAAACCACTCTTCTGTCGTGGAAAGCCAACGATTTCACTTTTTTGTTGTGTACAGTGTGTCTTGTCCATTGTCTCAACATAGTTGGACTTCGTTTTGCTTGTTTGTGAAATACGGTTGCCGTGTGGTTTTCTGCAACACAGGGAGGTCCTGCTGAACACCGCCTGTATGTCGTACGTTTCCCTCCACGACTGGGTCAATATTGAAACTAGCATAACGGTTTTTTCGCCAGCGTAGCATTTTCCGAGCATGCAGATACGGAATCTATTTATTCAGCAGTACTGCTGAAAAATTCAGCAGTACTGCTGAATTCCCTTCTCAACTGCTGAATTTTTCAGCAGTACTGCTGAATAAATAGATTCCGTTATTCAGATTCCGCCACCACGTAAAACAATAAAACTGATAGTGTTGTTGCAAGACAAAAATGATTCACAGTAATACTATTAATATTTTATTGTAGACTAGCAATCGTAAAACTAGTCCTTTAGGGATACGAAATCAATGAAAGGATCGTAAAAGTAATTGTCGTCATCCTTATATCGTTTTCCTTGATGTTTTGCAAGTCTCTTCTCCTTTTTCTTCTTCCTTCCCAACCAGTATGCATAATCCTTGTTTCGCCTAGTCTCCTGATAGATGTGGGCCCGGAAAGGTTTCAAGTCAAACGCTTTGTACTCATCGCGTTGTTGGTGGAGCATTTTGGGCTTCATGTCCTTGTGCTTGCCATTTTCGACATCAACTCTAAGGGAAGCTTCTGCTGGTGGTGACCAATGCCAATCGCCGTCCGTGTCTTTGGCTACCGTGCAGTTACCCAGCATAATCTTCGTTGGCTCTTGCTGGACATCGTTGAACATCTGCTTCACAGTCTTTGCATCGGCATAGAAATCGTCCGTGAAGAAGCTTTGTCGCCTAGTCTTGGACTATCTATCGATTTGTTCGTTGCTCCAGCTGCTTCCTAGAACCGTTCCTAGTTTCAGGAACTCATCTTCAGAGAAGTGGATCGTCATGGTTGGTTAAAGAGCTGCTCTGGCAGGTTGTGTTGCTTGTCGGAGGCGTTGTCAAGAAGGTGTTGATGGTGGTTTATATCTGACGATTGATTGGCGATTAATATAACAGGAATGACAAAGGGAATTTTAAAATTCAGCGAACTGCTGAAAAATTCAGCAGTACTGCTGAAAAATTCAGCAGTTATTTTTCAGCAGTACTGCTGAATAATTAGATTCCGTTTTGTCAGATTCCGTCGCTTTCAGTTGGCGCGCACGCATCTCAATAGTTTAACGGTCATAATTCGGGATTCCTAGGTACAGGTTTAGTGCTACGGACGCCGGAAGGACTATATTCAGCAGGACCTCCCTGTGTTGCTGTTGATGTGGCAAGCGTGTCACGTCAGTTTTTGGTACTATATCTCAGTGAGAGGACGTACAGACGTTACCGTATATGGGGGTATATACGTTTCCGCCGGCGATTGCTCATCCTTCTCAATCGCTTTGGATTTCGCAGACTCCAATTGGGCCTAAAAGAGTTTCAATGATGTTTTTGGGCTGACAGTTGTTACTAGCTGTTGGCCCCCAATCCCCCAGCGCAAGCGCTGGTTTCCTCCAAGGGTGAGGTGGGACTAGGGTAATCTTTATAACTATCTATTCCTAGACTTCAAATTCACTCTGTCAAATACAGAGCAGTCTTTTCAAAAGGAATGAGCTGCAACTGAGCTGCAGCTCCTTTACCAACTTCTTTCACAACCTCTTTGGTACGTAGCTTTCCACTGTCCTGCTACTGTACCTTCTTTGCATACGTACTTGGGCGTTCCGATCAGTCCGTCCTTCGCTAGCAGCTCCTTTACCAACTTCTTTCACAACCTCTTTGGTACGTAGCTTTCCACTGTCCTGCTACTGTACCTTCTTTGCATACGTACTTGGGCGTTCCGATCAGTCCGTCCTTCGCTAGCCAACACCTGCAGCGATTGTTCATCCTTCTCAATCGCTTTGGATTTCGCAGACTCCAATTGGGCCTAAAAGAGTTTCAATGATGTTTTTGGGCTGACAGTTGTTACTAGCTGTTGGCCCCCAATCCCCCAGCGCAAGCGCTGGTTTCCTCCAAGGGTGAGGTGGGACTAGGGTAATCTTTATAACTATCTATTCCTAGACTTCAAATTCACTCTGTCAAATACAGAGCAGTCTTTTCAAAAGGAATGAGCTGCAACTGAGCTGCAGCTCCTTTACCAACTTCTTTCACAACCTCTTTGGTACGTAGCTTTCCACTGTCCTGCTACTGTACCTTCTTTGCATACGTACTTGGGCGTTCCGATCAGTCCGTCCTTCGCTAGCAGCTCCTTTACCAACTTCTTTCACAACCTCTTTGGTACGTAGCTTTCCACTGTCCTGCTACTGTACCTTCTTTGCATACGTACTTGGGCGTTCCGATCAGTCCGTCCTTCGCTAGCCAACACCTGCAGCGATTGTTCATCCTTCTCAATCGCTTTGGATTTCGCAGACTCCAATTGGGCCTAAAAGAGTTTCAATGATGTTTTTGGGCTGACAGTTGTTACTAGCTGTTGGCCCCCAATCCCCCAGCGCAAGCGCTGGTTTCCTCCAAGGGTGAGGTGGGACTAGGGTAATCTTTATAACTATCTATTCCTAGACTTCAAATTCACTCTGTCAAATACAGAGCAGTCTTTTCAAAAGGAATGAGCTGCAACTGAGCTGCAGCTCCTTTACCAACTTCTTTCACAACCTCTTTGGTACGTAGCTTTCCACTGTCCTGCTACTGTACCTTCTTTGCATACGTACTTGGGCGTTCCGATCAGTCCGTCCTTCGCTAGCAGCTCCTTTACCAACTTCTTTCACAACCTCTTTGGTACGTAGCTTTCCACTGTCCTGCTACTGTACCTTCTTTGCATACGTACTTGGGCGTTCCGATCAGTCCGTCCTTCGCTAGCCAACACCTGCAGCGATTGTTCATCCTTCTCAATCGCTTTGGATTTCGCAGACTCCAATTGGGCCTAAAAGAGTTTCAATGATGTTTTTGGGCTGACAGTTGTTACTAGCTGTTGGCCCCCAATCCCCCAGCGCAAGCGCTGGTTTCCTCCAAGGGTGAGGTGGGACTAGGGTAATCTTTATAACTATCTATTCCTAGACTTCAAATTCACTCTGTCAAATACAGAGCAGTCTTTTCAAAAGGAATGAGCTGCAACTGAGCTGCAGCTCCTTTACCAACTTCTTTCACAACCTCTTTGGTACGTAGCTTTCCACTGTCCTGCTACTGTACCTTCTTTGCATACGTACTTGGGCGTTCCGATCAGTCCGTCCTTCGCTAGCAGCTCCTTTACCAACTTCTTTCACAACCTCTTTGGTACGTAGCTTTCCACTGTCCTGCTACTGTACCTTCTTTGCATACGTACTTGGGCGTTCCGATCAGTCCGTCCTTCGCTAGCCAACACCTGCAGCGATTGTTCATCCTTCTCAATCGCTTTGGATTTCGCAGACTCCAATTGGGCCTAAAAGAGTTTCAATGATGTTTTTGGGCTGACAGTTGTTACTAGCTGTTGGCCCCCAATCCCCCAGCGCAAGCGCTGGTTTCCTCCAAGGGTGAGGTGGGACTAGGGTAATCTTTATAACTATCTATTCCTAGACTTCAAATTCACTCTGTCAAATACAGAGCAGTCTTTTCAAAAGGAATGAGCTGCAACTGAGCTGCAGCTCCTTTACCAACTTCTTTCACAACCTCTTTGGTACGTAGCTTTCCACTGTCCTGCTACTGTACCTTCTTTGCATACGTACTTGGGCGTTCCGATCAGTCCGTCCTTCGCTAGCAGCTCCTTTACCAACTTCTTTCACAACCTCTTTGGTACGTAGCTTTCCACTGTCCTGCTACTGTACCTTCTTTGCATACGTACTTGGGCGTTCCGATCAGTCCGTCCTTCGCTAGCCAACACCTGCAGTCACTACAGGCAGGTGGTCAATGGCTGTGTAGTGAGTCTCGTACTCACGTATGGAGGACTGGCATAATCTTGTTTGGTACAAATTCGTAGTATGCAATCATCCTAGGCCAATCACGTTAGACATCGAGTCATGAAGTGGAGGCGGCGCCTGGTAATCCGTAGGATTAGTGAGTGAGGATGTACCCAGTCAGTCAGATGTATTGAAATGAGCTGGACAATTCAAAAGTGCATGAAAACGACACCAATGGAGAAACTAACGAAAGAAACGAAACAAATGGCACAGTGACATAGTAGGAATTTTAGATGTGCCACGATCTCAGCCACAACCGAGTCGTTGTCAGTCCTACGCTAGAAGAATAAAAGAAGCTAGCTACAGTACTGCATATGCGCAAACATAGCGCTCAGACCATGCATGGAATGTTGACAATAGTTGATTAAATTAGCCTAAACTAAAAAAATTCAAAGAGGTGCCAAACAAAATAGCAGCAACGTCTCCGAGTACTTCAAAACAAAATGTGTATGATGCACCTAGTGTCGAATGATTTTGATTGTCAGGTATCGGGAAAAGAATCACTGTTCGGGTCTTGATTCGTTCCAAAGCAGACTGTCCAGCCGCATCCACAACATCTTCCATTGACAGCTTATCTCTTGTGTTTGCATCTTTAACACTGACTAAGTATGGCATTGTAGTAGTACTACTGGTTGGACTTATTGTGTCTTGTATCCTGCTGCTGTTCAATGCCTCAATCTTTTCCGGTGCAACAACAACAAAGAACATGCTGGAAGATATCTTGTCCTTGTTGAAGATGTTACATGTCTGGCTGACTTCACAGACTGCCACTACGTGAAGAAGTACCACATATTTGCGTAGCGTACCGTGTATGGCTGCGCAAATATTCTAGCTGGCGCTACTTGCCGAGTGGGCTATGGTTCGCTACAGTGGTTTTTGGTACTTTGCTTACCCAGCAGCAGAAATCACAACTTGAAAGCTTGCCCGCTCTCCACCAAACAAATTTGTTGTCATCAATGGAATGGGACAACACTTGCAATCAATAGCAGCAATTGCCAAGTGTCCTGCACAAGATATCCAAACCACTCTTCTGTTGTGGAAAGCCAACGATTTCACTTTTTTGTTGTGTACAGTGTGTCTTGTCCATTGTCTCAACATAGTTGGACTTCATTTTGCTTGTTTGTGAAATACGGTTGCCGTGTGGTTTTCTGCAACACAGGGAGGTCCTGCTGAACACCGCCTGTATGTCGTACGTTTCCCTCCACGATTTCACTTTTTTGTTGTGTACAGTGTGTCTTGTCCATTGTCTCAACATAGTTGGACTTCATTTTGCTTGTTTGTGAAATACGGTTGCCCTGTGGTTTTCTGTTGATGTGGCAAGCGTGTCACGTCAGTTTTTGGTACTTTATCTCAGTGAGAGGACGTACAGACGTTACCGTATATGGGGGTATATACGTTTCCGCCGGTCACCACAGGCAGGTGGTCAATGGCTGTGTAGTGAGTCTCGTACTCACGTATGGAGGACTGGCATAATCTCGTTTGGTACAAATTCGTAGTATGCAATCATCCTAGGCCAATCACGTTAGACATCGAGTCATGATAATCCGTAGGATTAGTGAGTGAGGATGTACCCAGTCAGTCAGATGTATTGAAATGAGCTGGACAATTCAAAAGTGCATGAAAACGACACCAATGGAGAAACTAACGAAAGAAACGAAACAAATGGCACAGTGACATAGTAGGAATTTTAGATGTGCCACGATCTCAGCCACAACCGAGTCGTTGTCAGTCCTACGCTAGAAGAATAAAAGAAGCTAGCTACAGTACTGCATATGCGCAAACATAGCGCTCAGACCATGCATGGAATGTTGACAATAGTTGATTAAATTAGCCTAAACTAAAAAAATTCAAAGAGGTGCCAAACAAAATAGCAGCAACGTCTCCGAGTACTTCAAAACAAAATGTGTATGATGCACCTAGTGTCGAATGATTTTGAGTGTCAGGTATCGGGAAAAGAATCACTGTTCGGGTCTTGATTCGTTCCAAAGCAGACAGCGCAGCCACTTAGAATCCGGGAGGAACGGGGCAAGATCCTGGGATGAAGTAGTTGGCGACAAATCCGAGCCATCCCATCATAGCCAAACGGCCATTCTTGATTTCCTTCAAAGCCATGTCTTCCTTTTGTTGGTCGTTCATCTTTGCCCATCTTCCAGTCCAGTCCAAGACGGCTTCCTTGTCAATTTCTCCAGTGTAGGACTTTCCTTCCATTTCTCCACGAAGCTTGATTCCCTCAATGACTGCGCAGAAGACAATGAATTGTGCCCACCATTGGTTATCGGCCTCCAAGTGAGCCTTGATGGGGTCGGTGGTGCTGATGGGACCACCAGGGAATGCCCAGATCTTGGGGAAGACCCATCCAACAGTGGCCAACATAGCTGAGCGTCCATTGGCAAGCTCAGCCTTGCGAAGGTGGTCAAGAGGGGCCATGTCTGCAACACCAAAAGGGTCATACTGACAACAGGAGGAACGAGGTAAGATAAGGGTGTCGGCTTGAAATAATCTTCATCCTGGAGAGGTATCACATGTGTGTACGTACGGCCTTTCCTCCGGTCTCGGGACCAACTCCACGCAAGGAGTCCAACTCGGCAGCATCCAATTGGGTGGACTTGGAAACTTGATTGGCAGGAGCGAAAGCGCTGGCGCCAGCGATAGCACTAAGGAAAAACAAGGAGGTCTTCATGGTCAACAGTCTATGTATGTTCTGTTGCGTTGAGAGCAGCTGTCACAAGCCAAAAGGATCGCGAGATGCAGAAACTCAACGGAATTTGGAATTTCATCCGATTAAATGCCAAATGCCACGTACTTTGATTCGACCCAGTCGACCTGAGTCGTGAGTCTTCAAATAAATGCCACCAACATCCGGGTTGCGACAATCAATCAGCCTCGTCGATCTCAAAACTGTTTTGAAATAACTCGCGGGAGAGCAGAATCTTTCAAGCCGCTGTTTCTATCAAAGCGGAAAGGGCCCTAATCGCATCAAGTAAGGCGCGGAAATAGGCTGAAGAGATTGCTTTTTCTGAGCTGGGTGGATGAGAGGACACTGATTTAGCATTGGTATTAGTGTTGAAAACGATGGAGATTCTAATCCAAATACCGCAATGGCTCGTTGACATGTTGGAGCTCGCATATTCAAAGGGTGAAACAGCGTACAACCTCCTGTTGGAGCATTTTTCATCCATTTGGAGTTTTGTCACGTATCAGTGGAACTCCCTCTTTCTCATGCTCAGTATGATATTCTTCTGGCCAATGTGGGTGTACATTGCAGTTACGCTGACTACTGCCTCAACATGGATATTTTGGATCTTTGCATCGCTCTTACTGGGACTAATTCAAATGATATATGTATCCTACCAATTTGTGATGATTGCCAATGACGTGATGATTTTGACTTGCCTGAAAACGTATCAAGTCATTATGCGTTCACGCACTACTCAATTTCTATTCTTCTTCAGCAAGACGCTGAGAAAGAAACGAATTCGAACTTCAAGGCGACGAAAGTGGAGATGTGAATGTGAATTAGCAAAGTCATATTCCGAATTTCTACAAGTGCAGGTGATGGAACCAAAGGAACCCAAATTGGAGAAACCACCAACTGATGTCAACAAGCCAATGAAGCGAAGAACTCATTCCTTCGCGACGATGCAAACACTTTATGAGCAGCAAGATGAAATAACCAATCAAGGGGCCGAATCGCCTCGCAGACGCGCCCACGAAATGAAACGAATGAGTTCGTTTTCTAGGGCGGTGTTCGACTTTGACAATGACGACACCACCCCCAACATGGATCCAACTGTGGCGCAAGATCTTGGAGAAATGACTGCAGAGCTATTGCAATCGACTTTGATCCGTTTGAAAGAAGCTCGAAAAAGTTGCACTTCCCAGAGCGATTTATCGAGTCTTGAACACCTCTTGTCCGGTGTAGTCAAACGCAATCACTTGACACTCGAAGACTTGGTAGTCAACAATGCCCGAGCTGTTGCTTTTTCCGGCCAATATGGATTTTCTGCGGCGTCTAGGAGGCAAATCGATGCCTACTATAACGAAGTGTCTAAGGGGCTTGAATTTCTAGCAGAGGCCCCTGTTTCGGTGGACGAACCACTTGCTGTACTTTCGGATCGGATAAGTCTCGTACGGAAAATGAAGCAGAACATGGGAAGGACTGCATTGATGCTCTCTGGTGGAGGAGCTCAAGCGATGTATCACTTGGGAACGCTGCGGGCTCTCATTGATGCGGATCTTTATGACGATATTAAAGTGATCTCCGGAACTTCAGGAGGAAGCATCACGGCCGCCTGTTGCGCCATGTATTCCACGAAAGAAATCTTTGAGAAAATCTGCGTTCCAACTGTATCAACGGACTTTAAATTGAATGGTGAAATGAAGCAGAAGAATATCAAATGGTTTCCACCAATTCAAGACATGGTGGGATATTGGTTGAAGAAACGGCTCTTAGTGGACAGTGAGGTATGGTGATTTTTCGTCGGTCTTGCCATTGACTAAATTCATCGTTGTCTCAACATTGATACAGTACTTTTATCGGACTTGTGAGTTCTACTATGGAGCAACCACCTTTGCTGAAGCATTTGAGAGAACGGGAAAACATGTATGTATTACGGTTTCGGCTAGCCGCGCAAGTGGTGGCACAGCACAGCGTCTTTTACTGAATCACATATCGACTCCACATGTGACTTTGGCTAGCGCTGTTGCCGCTAGCTGCGCATTACCCGGTGTCATGAAGCCAGCAAAATTACAAACAAAGAGTTCATTGGGAGAAATCGAGCCTTTTGAAGTTGACGGAGTGGAATGGATAGACGGGTCGGTGCAAGCCGATCTTCCATTCCAGCGGATTTCGACGCTTTTCAATGTATCGAACTTTATTGTTTGTCAGACGAACTTTCATGTTCAGCCATTTCTGAACAAAGATCATCATCCGAGTACGCGGAGTGCGTATTGGAAACTGTTTCAACTTTTCGAGTGGGATATTCGCAGTCGTGCATTGAAATTGGGAAAGCTTGGTTTATTTCCGAAGATTTTTGGTCAAGATATATCAAAAGTCTTCAAGCAGAAATATCACGGCAACCTCACGCTTGTTCCAAGATTCACCGCAGCCCAAACCTTTGGGTTGAAAGCATTAGTGAACCCATCTGTAAAAGAAATGGAGGGATATCTCAAATATGGCCAGGTTGCGGTATGGCCATATGTCAGGTGAGTATCATGGTGGTTGCTGTATTTCCTCATGTCTGCCATGCTTTCCGTGCTCATTGCTTGCTAGTGTAATCCGAGATATGATAAGGTTAGAGAAATCCTTGGATGAATGTCTGGATAACCTGAAGGTCAGATGTAGTAAGCTCCATGTTGAAATAGACATGTCAGATTCAGACGATCTAGATTCGATTGCTTCAAGCAGTGCTAGTCTAAACGCTATCAGTCTGCGCAGAAGCAGCGTCCGTTTTGGGCATCATTCCGAGATAGAAAGACTGAAGAAGAAGTTGTCCAAGTTGGAAGATGAAAACCAAGATCTTAGAGAGAAACTGAAGGAACTGGAACAAATCATACTAGCAAATGTGGATCAGCAGCAAGAATTAAACGAAAAGAAGAAATCAGACGACAAGCTGGGTAAACCGGTAGAAGGGGATAAAGCGCAGGACGTTTCTGAGGGAAAGGTATGGGAAATACTCCGAGATCTTGATCGGAGAAGCTACACATCGATAGGGTGATGATCACTACACACAAATCACAATTGGTCACTGATTCGGCCCAATGCTTGAAGGTAACCTACTCTTTGAATGCTCATCAACGTTTTTTCTTGCTTTTCGCTTGTTGTTTGAAATGCGTGAACTTCTGATATTATATTTGTGCTGATCAATTTTCTCGTTGATGAAAATCCTTGGGCGGGAGATTTCAAACTAGGATGAATGCTAAACTCTAGAAGAATGATAATCTTGATTAACTTTCTACAGCATTGCCAACGTTGCATTAGCAGTAACCAGGGGGGCAAAAGCGCCTTTGCAACAACTTGGCAATCCATTGCTCCTTCGCCACCATGGTGTCGGATTAGACCGATGTACTGCACTAAATACCGATAGTAGTACCGACCGGGTAAAGAAGGGGAGGGACACTCTATAGCTATCGTCTGTAGATCGTCCGTAACGTCAGTCAGTCGCACGTAAACGAGCGAGAGGACTCTCTACCGTCCATTTGGAATTTAATGAAGTTGGGGAAACAAAAAATCGTAAAACCATGTAAGAAAAATACTTGGATATATAGTCTAAACCAGTTTTTCACGTAGATTTCATTGGAACCATCAGGAATCAGCAAAAACCGCGGTAAAACACTGCAATTTGCATCTGAAATTTTGTCCGTGAGTTGGATTACTTAGAGTTGCGCACGTGCCAGATGTGTCGCATCAATGGGTTCTTGTTTTATGGTGGTGGGCTCTTTAGTGAAATTTTAGCCAATGAGAGTTAGTCGATTCACTAAAGATGAGTCTATTATTAGTGGTATGAGCCAATCACAGCTCTCTATCACTAATGATGGA